CAGATATAGGTCCAGGTCCAGATATGGGTCCAGGTCCAGATATAGGTGCAGGGGAACCTGAAAGAAAAAAACACATGTTAGGATAGAAAAAATACAAATACAAAACAGGTTGAGCAGAGACAGTAAAGACGGTAGAATAGTGAAGACATTTTGTTCATTCAACCTTTTATTTCTACAGGTTAGTCTCATTGAGCCTCCAGGACTCATTTACAAGAGAGACCTGATTTTAACAAAGAATGATGACAACAGTGGACAATCATAAAAGAATACATTTCAATTGAAAAAATAAATGGAATAAAATGACATTGAAAAACAAAACACAAACAGCTACATTATAAAGCGATATAAAATACTAAAAACAGGAACATGTCTGCGATGGTTTTTCCATGAACTTGGCAGATGTTTAAAATCCCTGAGAGAGGTCAAAGTCAAGAGCTTCAGATCTTTTTGTAAGATATTCCAGGAAACAGGAGCAGATTAGGAGAAGGCCCTTCTGCCTAGTTCAGTCCTCACTGAGGGAACACTGCAGGTAATGATGTCCTGAGCGCACGCTGTAGCTGAACTCACGCAGAGACATGTAGGAGGAGATGTATGAAGGCAAGAATGAAGAATATGAAGATATATGAAGGCAACAGACCAAGAAGTACCTAAGGGATAGCTGAGGAAACTCAACTCAACCCTAACTATAGGATTTATCAAAAAGGAAAGTCTTAATCCCAGTGTTAAAACTGGACAATGTGTCAGCCTCACAGACAGAAACTGGAAGTTGGTTCCACAAGAGAGGAGCCTGAGAACTGAAAGATCTGCCTCCCATTCTGCTTTTAGAAGCTGTAGGAACCACAAGTAAACCTGCAGTCTGACAGGAAAGTGCTCTGTTAGGGAACAATAAGCTCTTAAACACAAGACAGCTAGTTTGTTGAGAGCTTTGCATGTTAGAAATAAAACTGGAGAAATAAGATCTCTCCTAACTCTCATCATAACTCTAGCAGCATTTCAGATCAACTGAAAATTTCTTAAAGAGTTTGTTTGGATACCCATTAATAAATAGTTGCAACATTCCAACTCATAAGAAATAAATCCACAGATCCGTTGCTTTTATGGGTTGTTATTATTATTATTATTTGTATAATTTTGTGATGAGATATTTCAAAGTATATTAATATTGCACAGGTGGAAGAAGGCGGTCCTAATAAAATGTTTAGTGTGGACGTTAACTTGAGGTAAACTCCATGACTAGCTCTGGTGTACAAACATGACTCACTGTTAACCCTAACAAATGGGAATTCATCAGATAAATATGATGAGCTTTTCCTGTAATCCCAATATCATGTTTAAGCCTCTAATAAAAATATTGTGCTCAGTTGTGGTAAATGCAGCACTGAGATCTAACAGGACAGTATAGACACAAGTTTCTTCATGTAGAAAATGGCCAAAGGGCCTTCTCCTGCTCCGCTCCTGTTTCCTGGAATATCTTACAAAAAGATCTGAAGCCCTCAACCTTGACCTCTCTAAGTGGCTTTAAGAACCTGTTGGGACTCCTGGCAGGGACCAATGCAGACATGTTCCTGATTTTAGTTTTCTACATTTGCCTTATAATCTAGTTGTTTTTGCTACTTTTTTGCCATCTTATTTTAATTTGTAAAAAACAAAAAAAAATCTATGCCTCTTGTATAACGGTCTATTGTTGTCTGTTGTCATCATTCTTTGTTAAATCAGGTCTCTCTTGTAAATGAGTCCTCCAGGCTCAATGGGATTTACCTGTTTAAATAAAGGTTGAGTGAATGTAGAAAACCTGTGTGTGATAGTCCAGCTCTGCTCTGTTATTTGCACAGTCCTGATGATTTATTCCCACATTTCTTGCTTCTGATTTCTCCACCAGTCCATGGTTCTGCTGCTGCACAGCCAGCATCAGTATATTTTTGACTATGACTCAGGGAACCGTTTGTCTGCGGTCACTATGCCCAGTGTGGCTCGGCACACCATGCAAACCATCAGATCCATTGGATACTACAGAAACATTTACACTCCCCCTGAAAGCAACGCTTCAGTCACTGTGGACTACTCTGAAGACGGACAGGTGTGTGACTTTCTGTGCAATTGAGGAAATTCTTCATGATTTTTATTCTGTTCTTTGGGAGTATTTGAATGTGTCTTTTACACCACATATGTGTTATCAATGCCCGTTGCTGGTGACGAAGGCTGTCTGTTAAAACTATTTGAACCTCTTGACAGATTGTAATGAAACGGTCAGAACGTAATCATTAGATGTGCATCTACAATTGAATAACTTTTGGAGTCAACTCAGTTCACAGTAACATGGGTTGTAAGTAGGCCTGTCGTGAAAAACAATAAATCAATTAATCGCATGATGAATGAAAATTATCTACCTCATTTTCATTTTCTGTCTTTATCATTTCTTCGTGTGTCTCTTTCTACTGAAGACACGGCTCAACTCCGGTGCTCTTCACTGACCCCTCCCTTTTTCTTTTCTCTTTAAAATCCGTTTTATCGATCCAAAATTGCGTTTTTGGATCAATAAAAGCAGCTAAGCTGAGAAGCTAAACTACGAGCTAAGCTAAGCTAACCTCGGGAATAAGCCTCTGTCTTGTCGAAGCTACACAATTCATGGTTGAAACCCATACCTTCGTCTAAAAAGTTGTTTTTCTCTGCAAAAAGAAGCTGAGAACTTGTTTTCTTATTTTTGTGTGAAAAATGCTAAAGAGCTCAAATCACCGAGCGTCCACCATGTCACCATGTCACCATGTCACCATGTCACCATGTCACGTCAAGGGGCCATTTTTCTTAAAAGAGACATGCTGCTCAACTAGCCATCCTTTGGTTCAAACAGTCTTATACTGCCATCAGGTGGTCAAAAAAGGTACTACACACCAAACAAATCAACATTTCTTCTAAAATTTGACAATTAGTAAATTTGTTAAATTTCAAACAATATTATCATTTATCGTAATAATTTCTGAGACAATTAATCACCCACCAAATTTGTTATCGTGACAGGCCTAGTTGTAAGTTACAATTTATTGACCTTAGCAAAAATAAAGTGACTATACAGTAGTCCCTCATTTATTGCTGGGGTTATGGTCCAGACCCCGCTCCCCCACAATAAATGGACTGTACTTATATAGCGCTTTTCTATCTTATCAACATACTCAAAGCACTTTACAACACAATCTGTGTCCTCATTTACCCATTCATACAGCACTCTACTATTTCTGTACAAAGACTAATCAGAGCTTTATCACATTCATACACTGATGGGACACACATCGGAGGCTATGAGGGGCTCAGTGTCTTGCCCAGGGACACTTCGACATGTGACTGCTGGTGGATTCGAACCCCCAACTCTTGCATTGGTGGACGACTGCTCTAACCACTCAGCCACAGCTGCCCGCACTATGAAAGCGCGGCCCTCTTATTCTTATTCAGAATAATATTTTGCTTAGATGAGAAAAGTGAAGAAAACATGAGGAGAGACGGTATAAAAAAAAAGATTTCTCATACCGCCTCCTAGACAGGGCACGATTTGAGGCATCAAGAAACCTACCACAGCAAAGCAACATAAATATATGTGATGCGTGAACATATAGGCGGTGAAAACATTGAATTTTAAAGGAAAGTTGTAGCATAGTCCAGAGCCCCCCCTCTCAGCCATTGTCCAGATAAGAGGTGTTAGTTATCGTCAGCTCTGTTGAGGCTCTGTCACATGTCCACGGCCTTGGGGAAGGAGGGGTGAGGAGAGAGACAAAGCATCTTTGTCTTTCTAAACATGCCAGGAGGAGTTGAGATAAGTCCGGCATCAAGGCCACAGTTTGGGTCAGGCAGAACTCATGAATTGCTGTTTCTGCCTTTTTAAAGTCTTGCTGATATATTAGTTAGGATGCTTGAGAGAAGCAGAGCGTGCTCTATTCACACAGAGAGCTGTTGGTTAGATTACTTGTTGTTATTTGTTTATTTGTCATATGGGCGGCTGTGGCTGAGTGGTTAGAGCAGTCCTCCTCCAATGCAAGAGTTGGGGGTTCAAATCCACCAGCAGTCACATGCTTATATCAACATGGTAGAATATAACGGTGCAAGTAGGATGAATTAGTATAAATAATTATTTCACAGTTGGTAATGTTAGCTTAATATTAGCTTCTTGCTGCTCTCTAAAATACCAAAGTTCATGCTCAGTAATCCAGGTAAAAATCCAACAATGTTCAGGTCATCTGGACAGTTTTTTTTTTTGTTTTTTGCTGAGACGTTTCATCCTTCATCCAAAGGACTTCTTCAATCTGAGGAGCCACCAAGCAAACTTAGCTTGAAGGTGTCCTTTGGATGAAGGACGAAACGTCTCAGCAAATAAAAGAAACCGTCCAAATGACACTGATCATTGTCCTCTTGAAATAGTTATTGAATCAAGTGTTTCCATCTGTAGGTAAACGCAGAAGTTTAACAACCCGTTAAAATACACCAGAATACAGGAAATGGCATCTACTTTATTCATTTTTTTCTGGGGGAGGATCCGCAGACCCCCCCACCAGTGTGCCCCTCCCCCACATTACAAATGCTTCTGATGTCAATGGACACTGCACTGTTCAAGCCAAGGGCCATTTTCATCACTGGGGGCTGAGCACCCCTCAAGGTCAGACTCTAGAATCGCCCCTGCTGTAGTTTTATTTAATGCTGTTCTTAGAGCAAACGCCTCAGGAGTTTCATTTCCCGCACAAACTTACCACGTGGTGCCATGATCCCATGTGGAGCAACATGTGTGTAAAACCTGAAACTGTTCCAGAGTTACATGTGCAGATAATGTGTCACCTGTTTTTATCATGTGAAAACTTGATTTTTCAACGTGTGTGACGTTCCTGGGGTTTTGTTCCACACTCGCAGTACACTCTATCACCTGTGGAGTCAGGGTTTTTCCTGTAAGTGCTGCCCGTCTACGAGACTGAGATCCTGAATATGTTGCTCCACTCTACGACACATCACTGTGAATATTCTGATCTTAATACTGTTTAAACTAAATCTCATTCACATCTTTGTGTTCTTCAGCTCCTCAGAGTGGCCCATCTAGGCACTGGCCGACAGATACTGTACAAATATCGCAGACAGGTACTTTATTTTCATATCTTTGGGTTTATAACGTCTGGACTTTTCAAAATATTTCACTTTATATACAAATATTTTTTCCATAAAATTCTAAATCTGTCAAACTAGATCCTTCAAAAACATTGTTATTCTTGAAATCAGCTTTTTCATACTGGATCTTTACTCATACTGGATCATACTGGATCTCTTGTTTGTTACTTTTGCTACTTTTAGCTATTGGTTAGCATTTTGTTACTTTCAGTTTTTATCTCTCTTTTCTATTTTTAGCATTTAGCTAGCATTTTTGCTTTGTTTGTTTAACCTTTAGCAAGTGTTTTGCTTATTTAGTTTTTAGCTGCTGCTCTGCTTCTTTTATTTTAGCAAGTTTCAGCAAAGCCATTCAACACTCACCGTTCACATGTTCAAAGAAATGTCTGCTTAATGAGTTTTAAATCAGAGGAGATCACCTCTGACTTATGGCAGCTGCAGAAAGAACAGGAGCTGTTACGTCTTAATGAACTAATCATGAATGGACCGGTTGTTTTTCCTACAGAACAAGCTGGCAGAGATTCTTTACGACTCAACACGAGTCAGTTTTACCTACGACGAAACGGCTGGCGTACTTAAGACGGTTAATTTGCAAAGTGAAGGCTTCATCTGCTCCATCCGGTACCGTCAAATCGGCCCACTGGTTGATCGGCAAATCTTCCGCTTCAGCGAGGATGGAATGGTGAATGCTCGCTTTGACTACACGTACGACAACAGCTTCAGGGTGACCAGCATGCAGGCTGTGATCAACGAGACGCCTCTGCCAATTGATCTCTACCAGTTTGATGATATTTCTGGGAAAGTGGAGCAGTTCGGGAAGTTTGGAGTCATTTATTATGATATTAATCAGGTAAGAAGGAAAATCAGTAACACTTTACAATTTACTAGGGAATACCTCAGAAATAAATGAGGAGCTAATGGGTAGTTAACCAGTACTTACTGGGGAGCACACAGCCAGGCCTTATTAGGGGACTTCTGGTTTGTTACCACAGGAACATACCAGTAGGTAATGGTCAGGCAGTGATTAAGTAATGATTGGTTCCTCAGTAAGTACTTGGTATGATGCTTCACTACATCAGTGAACAAAATAACAGCCAAGCGATGATTTGGTGCCCAGTCAGTGAAAGTCGGACATAGTTAAGATGACGCCAGTGCAAGATGATGAAATTGATAATGTCTTTCATCAACAGGTTTACGAAAGAGAAAATCCAGTAAAATCAGTAACCACTGGGAAACATGTTTCTGACAATTACGAGCTGTGACCTCACTGGTGCAGGGTTCATTCAGAAACCAAATGGAGAATTTCTCCTGTTCCTGTGGTAATAAACCAGTAGTCCCCTAATAAGACTTGGCTGTGTGTTCCCCAGTAAGTACTGGTTAACTACCCATTAGCTCCTGATTTGTTCCTGAGCTGTTCCCTAGTAGTTAATCCAATTTGTGCACCTTAGTGTTTCCAGAATATCTTGTTTTATTGAACAAAATAATGTGCAAGTCTGACGTGCATCAAAGTGATGCTCATGTCACGCTCACAGAGATGAGCCAGAACACTTTCAGTCATTTATCTTTTTAAACCTGCTCCTGGTCTTCTATGTGTAACGTTCTGTATGAACAAGACATGTTCACATGTTAACACCAGGCAGCAGCTGACACTTTGGTGCTGACTGTCCTCCTGACCACGCACACATGCACACGAAGATGCCTGGAGTGTTTCCTGAACGCACGTGAGCTGAGCACACAGGAGAGCGGGTGCACTGAAAACAGCTGAGTCGTGGAAGCAGCAGATTAAAGATGGCTAACACAACATGGGCACGCTGATCACTGCTTTGATTTTACTTTGTTTGCTTTTGTTTTGTGCTAAACTTTTGTTTTCCCTTAATATTATCATTGATGATGATGATGATGATGATGGGGAGTGGTGGTGCAGAGGTTAGAGAAGGTGGGCCTGTGATCAGAACATGGCCTATTCAACTCCTGGTACCAACAACATCAAAAATGTGGGTGGGGTAGGTGAAGCACCCACACCTGCCCCCGCCTTAATTCGTCCCACTCTGGGCCCTTGAGCAAGGCCCTTAACCCCCACCACCTGCTCCCCCGGGCGCCCTCCATGGCAGCTCTGCTCCACACAGAGGCTGTGGTAGCTCAGTGGTTGGACATCCGGCGTAAAAATAACTGAAGTCTTTGTGCGACTTAGTTCACTGTGACGACCCCTGAAGAAGGGAGCAGCTGAAAGAAGAAAAACAATCATCATTGATATTTAATTAATACAAGTTTTGGGGTGTCCTGAAAAAGAAAGGCAGAGTCTCTAAACAACAATATTAAAATAATCACAGAATTGTCCCAGGCGTCACCAACCTAGGCTACAAATTTACAGGTCATGCACGTGAAAATATTCAATTCAGTTTATTTATATAGCGCCCAATCACAACAGAAGTTGTCTCAGGCACTGAACAGAAACATTCACATACACACAAAAGACAATTAGTAAAAGTTTTCAAAGGAAGGAAGCAGCAGATTGTGTTGAATCTTCACTTTGTCACAGTCTCCCATGCTGAGTAAGCACAAAGGAGACAGTGGAAAGAAAAAACTCCTTTTAACAGGAAAAAACCTCCAGCAGAACCAGGATCAGGACAAGCGACCATCTGCTTTCACTGACTGGGTTTGAGAGGACAGGAAGGAGAGACAGACTATCACAGAATGACAGGTCCAGATGTAGGTGCAGGTCCAGGTGTAGGTGTAGGTGAACCTCGTACTGGAAGAAAGACAAAAAACACATGTTGAGTTAAAAATAATTACAAAGACAAACAGGTAGAGTAGAGCGCTAAAGACAGAATGAGGAAATGTTTGTCCTCCAGCAGTCTAAGCCTATAGCAGCATAACTAAGGGACAGCTCAGGAAACCCAAGCCGACCCTAACTATAGGATTTAGCAAAAAGGAAAGTCTTAATCCTAGTTTTAAAACTGGATAATGTGTCAGCCTCACAGACAGAGATTGGAAGTTGGTTCCACAAGAGAGGAGCCTGAGAACTGAAAGATCTTCCTCCCATTCTGTTTTTGTAAACACTAGGAACCACAAGTAAACCTGCAGTCTGAGAGTGAAGTGCTCTGTTAATAAAATATGGAACAGTAAGATCTCTAATATAAGATGGAGCTAGGTTGTTGAGAGCTTTGTAGGTTAGAAGTAAGATTTGAATTCTATTCTGGATTTGACAGGGAGCCAATGGAGAGAAGCTAAAACTGGAGAGATATGATCTCTCCCAGTAACTCCAGTTAAGACTCTGGCAGCAGCATTTTGGATCAACTGAAGACTTTTAAAGAAGTATTTGGACACCCAGATAAGAAACCATTGCAATAGTCCAGTCTAGACGTGACAAATGCATGGACCAGTTTTTCTGCATCATCTTTAGATCAGATGTTTCTAATGTTAGTGATATTACGCAGGTGGAAGAAGG